ACTAAATGCACATGTCAAGGAACTCGGCTCTGCCAGTTTCTGTGCCTTAAAGAAATATGTAATTAACAAATAGTTCTAGAAATATAGGTAATTGATTGTACATCGATATATTAATATACATATTACAGGCATAACAACACTTGTTAAAGGGTCCTATTTTTTCAAATAAGTCAATTCTAATTTTTAGACTTAATTTATAAATCATATATATATGATATTCTAATGGTTGACCAAGGAGAATACCGAACAACACATTATACAGAGAGAGAGCGCGGAGAGTCCGGCGGGGAATCCATAGATAAATGGCGGCTCAGATGCTCATCAGAAGTTTTGAAAAGGGCGGGCACTTAAAACCACCTATGGATGTACACTGAAGCTCAACTACCAACTGCACAAGAGGTAGTAATCGTACAGCAGCGACATTAGGGCGTTTAAGATTTTTAAAGATCATTTGTGGATACCTAGTCAGCTTTGTTTCCCTGCTGGGCTTAGTATACATACATATCATAATGGGTATCTGCTGTGGAAAACTTTGAATCGAACAGGGTCGAGTAGCGATGAACGGAGCTGTAACAGACACGACAATGTATGACGAGCTTCCCCGTTGGTGTAAATTCTAGAGTCCCTTTACTCCCCTTCCTGACTCTTGAGATAGGATGGTAATTTATTCCAATACTCTGATAATGTTCAATGTGTGACATCTATACACTGAATTCTCCTACATAAGTGTAATTTCTATCCGCCGTCAGGTTGATGCCGTTTAGTAATATATCCCTACCATACAAATTCAGTTTAGTATAGGCGACCAAATTATTGCTATATATAACTGTCAGGCAATAGATATAGGGCATATACTAGATATGAAATCTATCAGTCTATTATCTACTGCATGAACCACGTTGAAGCAAACTGTATTCCATGCAGACTTCCTGTGCCTGACGCGGACTTGACGGGTTTTCTTAGTCAGCAAGAGCAACGTTCGAGCCATAGGCCTGAAAAAGAAAGGAAGAATCGAATTCAGTTCTTTCATTTAATTGCACGACTCAGAGGCGCGTTTTACCATATTACCCTGGGTCATAAACGCCGTAAACTTCAGAGTTGAGCAGTACTCTCATTAGATGTTTTTTTGCAAAGTATCCCTGGACGTGATAAAACAGTAATGTGAAATTGATTTTCCATAATTTTGCACAAAGTCATAATTCTCAAACTCGAACAGAATGTTTAATGAACTAGATTCTACAGATACGAGTGTCCTATTAATTCTGGATATACGTTTGTATTTTAGAGTCTTATAGAGGAAGAGAACGTATGATTTCAGGCGATTTCCAAGCAGTGATCAAGTGATCTGCTTGTAATATGGAGGTGTCCTTACGTATTGGAGCTCTCTGTAAGGAAATTTTCGACTGTACAGTACAAGCTGTCCGCAAACACAAGGCGGCTTAGTTCCTGTCTAGACTTCTCATGGCGGAGGGAGAGGAAGAGTGCTAAAGACAGAGATTAATGAAGTAGTGTGCAAGAGACTTATTGATATCGTTTGTTTCAAGGTTCACATTACTCAGTCTCTAGCCGCACTCTTCCTTTTTTAAAAGAATATTGTTTTACCAGCTGAGGCTGAGTATTCAATTTTTTGAGGAATTTTAGGCTAAAAATCTTGTGAGTAGTCTTAGTTCTAGCATATGATATCTCTGTTTTCGAATGTATTTGGTGTCCGGATGGTGTTAAAGAAATTTTGGAACCAGATTGCAGGCTTTAAAGCCTGATAATTATATATGGCGCACATAACGTTTTACAGAAATGTTATCAGCATCGCACATACGACTAGTGCTGTTTTTGTTGCTTTTTGGCTAGTTTTGCCGTTTAGAGAAATGAAGAATTTTATACGGTTTAGTTCAAAACTATAATTGTATCAAAGTTACAATTTTTCAACACCCAAAATTATATTCCTTTCAAAATCTCAACCTCGGATTTATCCTTAAAATATTCCTAAATTTCCTAAATTTAAGCCTTGATATTCTTGTAAATATATTCTTATAAAAATTTGAGCGTATTCAATTGAACAGCGATCATTTCTTCGACATGAAACTCACAGGATTGGTGTGTGATCCAATAACTCGTCTCTCAGCAGCTGGTTTCTGAGCAGTTCTCTGATTGGCTCCTGTTTTATTGTCACCTATCGACACTGTATCGTACGTGTGTACCAATCCAATTTCTCCGGTTGACACCAGGTACGCCTCACTGTTTCCATAGATAGACCTCCTGTATTTAACCTGTGATCGAAAAACACGGAGAGTACGTGGTTCAGGTTAGGAAGACAGAGCCCCTTTATACATGTACTTTATGTAATACCAAAATATCCGAGTTTCTCTACAGTTTCTCTACATTTCGGACCTGGGGCCCGTTTCTGGAGGGTCCCGAAATGTTTTTGCAACCGGAAAACTATAGCAAAATCGCAAACCTTATGATTACAGAGCTGTTTTGTTCACATATTCTTAATATCAACAGAGGTTCCCTTCATACAAGAAGTTTCAGGCGTGTACAAATTTCAGTTTTCAGATACAGATTAATTAAAAATGGCTTTGTTGGCCTGAAAAGTTTCCGGGGCTTTCGAGAAAAGGGCCTTTAGTTGTGATCGCAAGGGAGTTCATCTAGCAGTAAAAAAAGAGCAAAAAGATATACTTACACAGACGTATATCACAGTGACAAGGAAAACTGCTGACAGACATCCCAGGACAATCATGACCACCAATGCCCATTTTGGCAGCTTCTCTTCAGTTTCCTCCGAGTCATCCTCTTTAACCTTTATACTCTTCACCTTGACTACTTCTCCTGCGTTGCTTGCCTGCTGTAGCTTTTCCTTCAACTCGCTCTCCTTTACTTTTGAGTCCTTTGCCAAGATGACGATGTAATTGCATACTACACTTCCTTCTGTTATAAACAGGATGCGCACGCCAACAAAACCGTCGACGTTTTTGTAAACTTTTACCAAGCTCGTTGTCAGATTATTTTTCAGTTCCTCGTACTCTGGACTGCCTGTATCTCTGTATTCCTCTTTAAATACAATGTCGAAGGAGACCTCCATGTTGACAACTTTGGTTCCTCCTGGTGGCAAAGTTGGAGCAGTAGGCTGAGCAGTCGTGGGCGTGGCAGGTGAAGCGGCAGATGTAGTGTTTACTGGAGGAGACGACGTCGAGCTGGAATTACTTGTGGATACTGTCAGGGACCCTACAAGATATGTCATAACTGAGACAGTTTTCTTGGAGAAAGACTGAGCGAGCGTTGAGGTGCCGACCTGGGTAGACTGGCTGACAGTGGGAGAAGGCAAGGTTACGACTGAAGATGGAAGCCTGCTCGTCTTAGAGGTCTGACCTAGAGGATGTGCAGAGAGAAGACGAATTAAAGAGGGAGTTGATTGGAACCGAAGTAAAAACGGGAAGCGCCTGGTTCTTACTCAAGCAACAGTTAATCATTCAATCAATCAATCAATCGATCGATCAGTCAATCAATCAATCAATCAATCAGTCAATCCGTTAGTCAGTCAATCGACTTATTAAAGTATCTCGGTCTTCTAACAAAGTTTGTGCCCAGTGAAAGCAGCCATTATTTAATCTCTCGCGCGGCACGAAGCCTTACTAAAAGTATCGTCTTTCCCAGTGGATTGTAATACAAGTCCATTCCAGTATTATAGTTAGGCTATCCCAACAATTCACTGAGATTCCAAGTCACACACCACATTGAAAACCTGTAAATGAACTGTTTTCGTGAAACAACTGACAACATACCTGGTGCTGAAAACGTGGAAACTGACTGCGATGTGAATGCTGTTGCTAAAACAGCTCTCGAGGATAAAGAATTCGTCACCATTATGTTTGTGAACGAAGTGAAGGAGGAAGCATTTGGAGAAACTTGCGTCGATGGTTGGGACGTTTTGTTGAAATGAACAGATGCAATGCTTCCTGTGGTAGGGTGGGGACTCAAAGTGATAGTGACATTATGGGAAGCCTGCATAGCAAATGTCGAAGTGCTGCTTCTAACAATTTCAGAAGCCTGTAAGGTAACGCTCGCTAAAGCTACAGGGCTGCTTGTAGCATTTTTAGAAGTCTGTACGGTAACGCTTACTGGGGCTACGGGGCTGCTTGTAAATTTTTCAGAAGCCTGTACGGTAACACTTGCCGAGGCTAATGGGCTGCTTGTAGCTTGTTCAGAAGCCTGCACTGTAACGCTTGCTGAAGCTACAGGGCTGCTCAAGGTAGCATTTTGACGAGCCTGTACGGTAACGCTTGCTGAAGCTTCAGGGCTGCTCACAGTAACATTTTCGGAAGCCTGGACGGTAATGCTTGCTGACGCTACATGTACAGGGCTGCTTGTAACATTTTGGGAAACCTGCACGGTAACGCTTGTTGGAGCTGCAGGGCTGTTTGTAACAGTTGTAGAAGTCTGCAAAGTTCCCTTCGTTGAACTGTTGGTTATTCTTGCTATAAAGAGACAACAGTTAACAATCAAGTCAACTGTATATCAGCTATACAAAATACACACACAATACTGATCGGCTTTTATTAAAATACAAGTTTACTGGGTATCGAGGGAACGAGAAATCAGTGTGGAAACACGATTCGTAGGCGAAACATTTTTATTTCCGAGTGGGCAGGGAAGAAAAAACGTCTTTTTCTGTTTTGTTTACGCATGCTCAACCTGTTTTTGAAACACTAACCGCCCAATTCAAGCATTTTCAGCGAAATATGCAAGCTATTTTCGCCCATGAGAACACGTTTTTTTTTTATGTTGTGAAAGACAGGGCGAAAAACATAACAATTTTTGGAAAGTGTCTCCTCTTTCCAGGTATTACTGGTTGATTACGGAATGAAATATCGAGGTATGTAACCGTTAAGGAATCGGCGAATAAGATGGTACTATATTCAAACTTTATCGTCATAACAGAAATATTTTTCCCTTTGTTTCCAGTCGCTCGTAACAATTAAGTTTCATGTTTTACAAAATTACAGTTAATCTAAAATCACACAAATTAATTTGAAATATAAACGCTGAAAATGTTTCGGCTCTGGGTCGAATCCATCGGCGAACGAGTTAAATAGGCCAGGACAATTGAACTTATTAAAATGAAACTTGCCGCCACCGAAAAAAACCATTAGAAATGTAGGCGCTCTTTAATTAGAAATTCACTTCTTTTATGAAAACGTTTGCTTTAAGAAGGTTAATCTTGACGCGTAAGTGTCAAAGTTTTTAAGTTTGACGACATTTGTTATGTCTTTATGCAAATTTATTTTATTTCGGTAGTTGTTTCAAGCGTCATCTATTGAAACCTAAACTGTGTAAAATAAAGATGTAACAGAAATATTTATTGCTTTTCTGCAAAGCTTACAATGCGTCTACTTCATAGCTAAAAAATAGCAGCAACAAGAAAACTTAAAAGGCAGCTGTTTTCGCTGACAGGTTTTGTGTCGATCCGTTGTATGGGTCATCGAAGACTTACTCTTTCCTTAGACTCACATACGCCTCCTAAAGTGTCGGATAACTCTCAGAATAAAATTATTTCAGTCTACTTTATGGACATTTCCAAGGCTATTTGCGTCATTCGTACAGATGGTTCCACGTTTACTAGACAAAAATGGTGGAACGTGATTTCTTCATCGTTAGATTATATTGCATTAAATTTTCGAAAACCCCCTGCTCGTTTTTAATAAAACTTATGCCCTAAAACAACAGATATTAATACGGGAAAATTGACGTATTGATAGATCTATTCGAGCCTGGTGGTTAGCACAGAACTTAATTTTATCCGGCCTCGAGTCTCAGACCAATTGCAAGCGTTTAAAATAAATATATTTCTACTCAACTTTGAATCCATAAACTATAATATCTGGCGCGTCGGCAGGAAAATGGAGTACGCTTAGGCTGCAAAACGGCACTGGAAAATGTTTTTAACCTAATTTGAAAATACAGACTAGTATAGCTGGAGCAAATAAATATGCGGCGTGATGTGCAACATATTTTAATTTCAATCGAAGCCTGGTTCACTAAGCTCATACTGAATTAGGCAGAAGGCCTTGTCAGTCCGGCCTGAACAGCCCAGCTTCAATTTGAAAATTAAAAGTCAGAGCAGATATCAATCCTTTGTGCTTTCTTATCAAATTCACTTGTTCAAGTCATTCTTCAGGCGATCTATTATCAAAGATGTGCTTTTTGTCAAACGCCTAGGGCTAATTTCTCTCGACAATTAAAACCACTACTGGAAAGAAAGAAACACAACAATCACTATCTCGATGATTTTACAAGAATCAATTTCTGGATTCAAAGACAGTGGACCACGAAGCTTATCCGTTTTGGAAAAAAATAAAGAAATAAAACTAGGAGCATATGGTCTTTGCTTATCATCGTGAACTGTTCATTTCTTACTTCATCACGGTAAAAAACGAATTCATATTTTCCGGAATTTGGCCAACGAGAATTATGTCAATGAGTTTAATTGACATGGCGAATATTCAGGCCATCAACTTACCTTGCATCCAAAAAACCAAGGCGAGCGCGAACATCAAAGCATTTAGGCCACTCATTTCAAACAGAAGATGTTTTTCCTGTCGCAGCTCAGTAAATTCGGGACCGCTGAATTGTGACAAGCGATTACCAGAAAGCCGAGATTAACCGACTGATTAGCCGAGTGCTCCTCCAAATAGTAAATCCTCAAATATTCAGAGTTTCCAGCCAAGTTCTTTTCTTTTAGATGAAGAAAACAGTATAAGATCCGCGAGCGGCTTTTCAACTACCCACGAATACTCCTTCTAGCTTGCTTTATCTTGATTCATTCACTTCGGAATAAATTTCCATATCTAGGGCGTCAATTAAAGCTGATAGCTTGCCTGGAATGACAGAAAGACAACTGAAACTGCCAGGCTGCGTTTGTTCTTTTTTCTTCAAAACACTTTAGTGTTAATTAGCCCACAAACTGACAAAAGGCACACAGATAACATCGGGAAAATGCCTGAATTCACGTATGCACTGTATGTTAATCCAGAAAGTATTTGGAGTTTTAATTTTTCTCGATGATTTCGGAAGAGGCCGCTAAAGTAACTAAATGTATGATGATGCATTTGCGCGAAACTTCAGTTTATCGAGTTCAGTTTTCATCACTACTTGGTATGGTTTGCTACGGCCATAGACTGAAGGCCCAGTTGAAATACATATCGTGTTATTTCAAAATTATTTTTAGCAAAGTAATAAATAAAATAATTTGATAAGCCTGGTGGCACTATTTTGTAAACATTTAAAGGGCAGCTAAATTTTATTGGCATGCAAATGACCATGCGATGGTACCACAAAGCCAGTCGTTATGTAAACAAGATTCACCAGCCTCCCACACAAAAACGGATCAAAATGCCGCAGGGACTGAAAAACGGTGTCATGGTGTTGAGCTTTTTGAAGATATATTTCATTTACTTGTTGTGATTTTTTTCCTTTTAAATTCTGACGGAAAGAAGGAATTAGAATCCGTTTTGAGGTCTGAAAAGGCTGAAATTCCTCTTCAATGCACACTTCAGAACCGTACAATTGCATCATTTCCATGGAAACTACACAAATATTACATGTGACGACTTAAGGGTGACGGGGGAGGGGACCTTCAGGCTATCTTACCAAGCAACGCAGACTAGGTTCAGGGCACTTGCTTTTTACATTCGGCTAAAAATTCCAGAACTTTTGAAGCGGGAACAGCTCCTACGATATTTTCCCTGAAAAGTCTCCGGAGAATCCGAAAATTGTTGAATTTCCGACATGCGAACTACAATAAGCCGAATACTGTGTTTCGAATGGAAAATCAAATAGATCGGAAATTTACAGTTTGGTAGTAAGAAGTTTGAGTCAAATTTAAGTATACTTCGCCGCGCGAGGTAATCGTTTACTGGAATGTTTCATTCGCCACTCAAAATTTCCGGAAATTCAAACCGAAAATTTTGGTCTGATGGGAAGGGCCCTGAACGGGCTTGATTACCAGCCGCTGTACATGATATGACACCACACTCTTCTCCTCCTTTCCTCCCACTGTCTACTTGTGTTACTATCTGTCTGTCTTTCTGTCTGTCTTTGTGACATTCTCACTCCAGAAACAGATCTCTGTGGGAACCAAGCAATGGCGTGCGCCAAATCTCGCCAGGCTACGCAGGATAACAGTGTGGCTGTGGGTAGAGAGGTAAGCATGAAAATATATCACTGTAAAAAAGAAAAAAACAAAAAAACTTGTAAATGAGAAGAGCACCAAAAGTGCCCCCGACATAATTTATTCACCATGAAACGGGCATAAACTAATGGTCATTTTCCTGTAATTTTAGTTGCATTGCGCAGGTCACCAAAGAAAACAATCGCCGTCAAACGTCTCAGATGTTGCCATGTAAATCACACGTGCGCTTTTCTGGAGCGGATTTTTTAATACAACACTTGCCAGTGCACAATACAACGGGTCTTTACTCAATATGTAGGATTCTATGAATGCAACTTGAAAATTAAATAACATTGTAGTAATTAAAACAAGCTATAGTTTACAATACAAATGTTAAAACACACATTTTCTCACCTTCCGAATCATACAAAACAAATGAATTGATCGGATTGGTAAGAAAAACGTGCCTTTAGCTACAACTTATGTTAAAATGTTTGATATCACATTTTGACTGCTTTCTTTTGAGTGTCCTCATTCCAGCTAGTCCAATCAAAAGATGAGTTGTTTTTAGTCCGGGAGGGGGAGAAGTTAAACTAGACAGGATAGAGACGTGATTGGCTGCGAAGTTTTGCCCACCGGTAAAAGCTGTCAAAGTGTCAAAGAAAATCGAGTAGTACGTTACTGCGCCTTTCAATAACACGAGGACTCTAAAATTCAAAGCTCAACCGACAAATGCGTTTTTCGTTACCATCAATCAAATGTTCGGCGGCTCCTCCCACCTTCCGACTGCTGCCGAGCACTGTTTCGTTGAGCTCTGAATAGTCAACACTGTCGGTTGAGCTTTGAATTTTTAAGTCCGCATCAGTGTTATTGAAAGGCGCAATAATAGCTCAGTCCTGAATACACGGATTAAGCCATGGTACTACAAACCGCATGTTTGATTAATGAAAAGTATCCTTAACATATACCTAAAAACACCCAGCTTCGACCTCACACGAGCATAGAAATAATTACAAACGTTTGTTAAAAAGAGAACATAAAAATACAAAATGCTCGTGACAAATTATTACACAATATTCTTAAAATTCTTCTTGAAAACGAGAGGATATATTGCATACTATTTTACTTCTGCCAATAACAAAACTTAATTATAATATCTCCTTACATCCCATTAAAAGAACTGGCAGGAACGAATATTTTGCGTCAACGTTTACAACGGAAGAACTTTGCGACCTTAGTGGTTTAGCTGAGATTTAAAACAACTCGTCCACGTGATCTCAGGATTATTAACAAAACCAGTGATACCTATCCTTATGTCGGATGGCTATAGCCAATAGAGAGGATTATTTGCATGGTAATATTCACTGAATATCGGCAAACACGTTAAATAAATAAAATAGAAGTGGTAGAAAAACAAACTGGAAAAGCGAATTAGAACATTGCGTTACTTTTTCTTGTCACATATTCCTTGTATATTGGCTGGAGACGGCGTGACAAGACATAAAACACATAGCATACAAGAGATGAATGAAACTGCTTGTTCACGAATCGCACATTCTACCACAAAAATCAAAATGTTTTGATCAAACTAATACCAAACCTCCAACAATTTAGAAAACGCAGCGATCCAAGGAGTTTTATTATCTGAATGCCATCACACCAAACGTCCCAGCCCTCTACTCCCATCCTTATCCCTTCCCCACCCGCAATAATTTATAACCACAGGAAGGCAAAATTATGGGGAGATCAGTGGATAGGAACAGATTTTGAGCTCTCCTCTATTTTCAGCATGTCTCATGCCTGCCGATAGGAAGTGACCACCGTGCGGGCCTCATGACAACACTGCCATTACAAACAGATCTAACATAGATGGGGTCATGAACACAGACTAAGAAATCATATACAGAAAATCAAAAATAGCACCCTTAATAAAAGGGCTAGGCCAGGTCAATTCAAGGAGCAATTTTGGCCGATTTTGTAACAAAGAAATACTGACCTTAAAACAGAATGATGGAGGAACATAAGTATTTACAGGGAAGCTTCACAGAAAAGCAAACGGTCAAAACGGACCCAGTTTGAACCTGGTTCACTGCAGAAACTAAAACTTTTTCTATAAATGAGAATGTGGTAAATATTGCACGGAAATTTTCATTTCCGCGTTGCCCGCCTTAGCACTACCAAGAATACGTGAAGCTTTGATTTCGAAATTACCAGAATATTTCAAGTTTGGCAAGAAACACCAAACTGACATGCCTAGCCGCTTTAAGGTTAATGCTCCGTTACAAAACGTTTCTCTTAATCAGAATTATTCTAGTTACACAGTTTTCACGTTCTCCATTGCCAAAAAAGATTCCATTTACACTTCGGCTCTTCCATTATGCGTTCTCGCCATGTCGACCACCACCGCGTGCTCTTTGGCCTTCATTCTCAGTGCTGCAATGCTTGAGGTATGCCGCTGAGGACACTGTAACGAAGGCTCACGTTCGTCACAGAAATTTTGTGACGTCATGGACCCAGGCGAACCGTGGCAGCCATCAGCGGGAGAGTGATTTCCACGTTGCTGCTGAGCATGCGCACAAGGCGGAAGCTGCTTGGAAGGACCGTGTTGCGAAATGGTGACGTTTGGATGAGCAATGGGCGACCGCCTCATCCCGGAACTTGAGGTTGTCATGGCACCGACTTTAGCACAGTGCGGGGGAGATTCTGGGGACGGAGACCTTGGTGAATGCCTGTTTGGGGGCAATGAATGGTGCACGTGCACAACAGGCCCATAGCTTGGTACAGGCATGTGATGCGCCAACGGCCCCGGTCCATGCCCCGACGGGTTCATACAACTGTTGGACGGCCGAGGCCAACCTGGCGCCTGGGGATGGCGATCGTAGATGGGTGCCATGGTGATTGATCGCACTGGAACGGGGACTGGAGCAAAGCGTTCACGCTTGCGCCATTTGGCTCTTCGATTCTGGAACCACACCTATGGAGGACATTTGAGACTTTCTTAAACACAGCAGGAAAATAATAGTCTACATAAATTGACGCATCGTCCCTTCTGGCCATCTTTTGGCTCTCTAACAATTTGTATGTGACATTATACACTCTTTCTAGCAGGAAATATGAGTTTTAACACTTAGATAAGAAATTTATGGGAAGAATTGTTCTGTGAATTTCACGGTACATTAGAACTCATGTCTAAACAAATAACACTTCTTCAGACATTCTCACTACCTTTCCACAAGGCAGTGTATTAAAACTGTAGGGAGAGCCTAAATTCCGACCACTAAAGGATTGAACAGGTTAATTTTTTCTTGCAGAGATTTGGCTTAAAGGAAAAATTGTATTGCTGATGGAAAGCTGGAGAGCTTCGATGACATCAATTCATCATCGGTTAAAGTACAAATACAAATGCATCGTGCAAATATTGGATTGCTATTTAATTTGTGTCTATTTTAGGCACAATATTATCTATCTTGTGATAACAAAATGTAAACATGCTCTGATTAAACAGTTGATAACTAAGCGCGTATCGTGTGCCAGCTGATGACAACTGTCAAGAGATCAGTCCCATCCCAGCGACAGATGTGCACAAAAATTACGATGGGCGGGAAAACGGGAGGACAGGAGCCATTGCATTTTTTCGCGGTCAGTCGGAAACGATCCGCTAAATGATGTAAGACTGAACAGAAAGGAACACTTTTCAGGCATAGAGCACAAACCGGAGGGCCCTCTCAGACATACAAGCCAATACCCATCAAACTGTACATGTGGTTTAGCCCTCCCTACCCATCCGGTATTTATAGTGACACATTAACCGAGCAAATCTGGGCTACGAAGCCAACTGTGTTTATTCGACCGGAGAACCACGCAGAAACGCCGTTCCTATTTATTCTGTTGAGTTTGCGGTAACGTTCTGGCAGCCTGCATGTACAGAATTCTGCCTACATTAAAATTTGTGTTTAGGTTAATCCCTTTTGAGCACAGATGTCGATAGGTGTAAAATCCTTCCTTAATTAATTTGACAATGAATTGTATCTTGAATTTGAGAGTGAACTATCATTATTTGGGATATTGGATGAAATTTGTAAACATGGAAGTAGTGAGCTTCATATCTGTTCCACAAAACACAGCTAAAAACGCCGAGTCACACTTTACCATGCTCTTTCTGTAACTTTTAGTTTCATTAAAAGCGTGGGTGACTTGAAGAGCGATATTTTCAACCTCACAAAAAACTAAAGCTTTGGACAGAGATTCAATTGTCTATTAATAAAACAGCGATTTATGGACACAGTGCTTACGTAATCAAGTAGACACAAATACAAGCTTTACAGGAAAGCTTATACTGAAATCCTCACACCTCTTACAGTATGAAACTAGCACAACAACATAGCACCGAGTTAGGTTCTTTATGTGTTATCTTAAAATAAATGCAAAGCAATCAGCAAGGATGACTAAGAGGTGAAAACTAACAATAACACGGCCTTTGACAAAAAGGCCACACAAATCAATTTTCTGGCATGCTGTCGAAGTCGAAAGTAAAACACGCAACCAATTTCAATGGCCAAAATGGTGAAATTTCCGAGTTTCATTTCCTTTTAATTTGTCCATTTGCACATCTGTGTGTTCGGTAAAGCGGAACTAAGCGATACAGATGAAAAAGGAACCCCAAGCCACACCCTTTGTGGGCACATGTCAACGTAGGCAAATTTAACCCAACATGAAAGGGCTTGCGCTAACCTTTGCGAACGTCACACCGGAAATTTGTGTCTTGTTCTGAATAGTTATATCTCTTTACTGTGGGTTTCCTGACTTCGGCACCACGAATTGGGAATGCACTGTCTAGACACAATGGCTCCAGACGAATTGTACACAAGCGCTTTACAGTGAAAAATCGCATCCCTGTCTCCGAACATTTTTTGATACAGGGTTGCAAGGGACCTGTTTAAACGGCTAGCTCACATCCAGATGTCAGTTTTCGAATGAAATTCTTCCCACGGAGCTACAGACATTTTCTACTACTCTACTACACTAGATTGGAGAATTTCGATTATATATATCGAGACAACACTCTGGTCATCAGCTGTTACTGTTGTTGCTGATGTTGGCTTTTTCTACCTCCATGCTTGATTTCGTGTCGATATTTCCTAGAGCCGAAATAAGTTGTTGACCACTCAGTTATTTTATTATTTTATTTCAAGTGCAAATGAATACGATATCCACTCAGGTCGGTGGTTTTTTTTTTTTTTCAAAACTATCTTGGAGTCGCGAGAAGTTTCGAGAACGAAACCAATTTCGATGTGGAAGAAAGTTGCATCTGCACATAAACTTTCGAAGAATATGAAATGCCAGGCAAGAGTGTTTCTAAACCAACTCGTAAACGCCTATATCATGGATTTCATGAACTCTTTTCCACATACGAGTTATCTTTAGAACGATTATCATGAGTGGCTTAATTCTTAAAGCAAAAAAAGAAAAGAAAAGAAAAGAAAAAAACTAAAACTAAAACACCAGGAATTTGAAAACAAAGAAGAATGGTTACGAATATTAAACTGCCAATTTAAGGTAAGCTTAAACAGTTTTTTTAGGCTTAGGGGTGATTTTCGTTTGATATGTCAAACGTTTCTATTCCTCTCGAGTTCGACGTATTATAAGCTCAATTGAAATCCAAAAATGTTGCAAAAGGAGTTAATGTGATAGAGCCCCATAATTCCCTTAATTCGTTTAGATATTACTTCTGAAAGGTACCGACATCATAAATATCCATGCATGCAGGTAATTCCTTTTGTAATGCCCTACCCTTCTCCCTTTTTACTAAGACAGCTAAAAGTGATCTGCACACCACTTTGTAACAAAACCATTTCCGTGACAAGTTGTACAAAACAGAAACGAACTTCTGGCTCACGAAACAAGGAGCATTACAACATTTGGAACTAGCAGTCAGAAGAAAAAGACTGACAAAAACCTACTACTTAAAACTACCACTTCTCTGTCAATTTGCAATGAATTACTAGAGAATAAAACCCACTCTGCAAAGCCTCTACCAGTAAAAGATCTATGTCGATTGGGGCCCCGGCCTTCGGAGAAAGGCTTAACTTAGAAACAAAATTCCACAGAAGAAAAGACAAATTTGTCTGTTTTTTTTTTTCTTTTTCTTCCTCCAAACTTTTAAAGTAGTGGTCAGTAGTGACTTAGTAAGTGACTTGAAGGTTGTTATGAATACATAGCGTGTCGGATGTAGCAATCAATGTAAGTCTTTGCTTTCAAATGTCGTATTTGTCTAAACGTACCGACGGACATTTCCTCTCACGGTGAGAGCGGAAATGTACATGCGTTGAGTGCACATTTCAAGACACCCTCTTGGGACAATTCTTCAGTTAAAAGACCTCTCAAACGGAGGTAAATTTGGAACCAAATCGCGCATTTAGTTCACGTTATAAACGTGATGAAAGTTGGCTTGGTGACTTTCGGAAATCTAAAGCAAGCCTTCCCAGTATTCCTACTATGCTGGGCCAGTCTATTTTTAGCCAATTCTGGAGCATTTTGTGCATTAAAGAAGCGCTCGACTTGTGATATTCACTCAATCATGAGATCTCTGCTTTGCAATAAAAGAGGATTTCTGAGAATTATCGCTCACATTCTCATAAAAAATTGACCTTTAGTTGATCTGCGTCGGGGCCAAGCATAAACCAAGCTAGGCTTGTAGCCAATTGCGGTCAATTTTCCCCACCGTTCATGCTCGTAAATCTAGGATGCGTTGCATATCTTTTGGTTCTTTGTAACAGTTTCAAACCATCGTGTGATCAATTCAAAACATTTTGAGACCAATCAGTTGCATGTCACATAATCATCCAATATAGCGTGACAAAAACCAGTTTGGAGCGCGCGAAGAAGAACAGGTAAGCAGGGATTAAGTATGGATTAACTCTGAGCGCTTCTCAACCCTGGGTATTAAGCCGGATTACTGGAATAACTATAAATATGCACTGAATTATCTACACGGGTCAGGAGTGGGGCAGCTGACGTCTGTTCGCGTTGCTTCGGCAAATATCGTGCAGACAAAAACGTAAATCAAAAGACAAGTGTTTGACCCTCTTCTGCCATGTTGTTGGAAACGGGGGTGTTTCGGCAGATGATTTCACATCAGACAGATCACGATAGAATCGATCGCTCAAGGACTTCCAAAATTAATACACAATTGTCAATACACAATTAGTTTTAGCTTTGAAAACAATTTCCTTACACAGCAGACTAAACTGAATTGTGAAGGGTTCCCGCGATGTAATGACAAAAAAACAAACAAACAAACAAACAAACAGCCAAATTAAAAACAACACAAACAACAAAACTTGGTCAGTCTTCGCGACAAGAGACTCGGCTCTAAGTTATGGACTAATGGCGAAAAACGTGGAGTCCTTAAGTTCCCAGGTGAGGATTTACACCAGATGAAGTCTATATTTTAAGATATTGCCTGAGATATTATAAAGTTCTCAAGAACATATAAGAGCTGCTAGGTCAGTCTTCAACAGTACCCGCGATAAAAGTTCAACAGAAAGGAAATATGCTAACGGATTATCCTCCATAATGTTTTCCAAGCTTGACAAATTGCCCTTGCTGTACATCACGCATACTCAATGCTCCCTATATACGCAGATAAGAGTTTTAACATAATATTGATTATTATAGGTCTCGAGTATCAAGATTAAGACTCCAATGGCAACCGACAGATTTATCAAATGAGCTTTAGTTACTTCAAGTCGCAGTAGCAGTTTGGTCCCACCTTAAACTTGTGTCCTTCAACCAGTTAAATTCACCTAGAACTTGCACACAGACGTCCATATCAAACCAGCGAGGTTGAAAGTTCTCGCCGGAAAACTGACGTCGACAGTAACATCTCTGTTGCCAACAAATTGCGACACTACACACTTCGCATGTTCGCCGCCCAACCTTTCTGAGGAATTCTCCCTGTGCAACGTGATTTAT